TTTAAAATGTAAACCAAATCATCACTCATTAAGAATAAAGCATTCAGGCTGGGGTTGTGGCTCAGAGGTAGAGTGCTTGCCTAGTATGTGTGAGGCATTGGGTTCGATTCTCAGCACAACATATAAATAAATAAATAAATAAAGATATTGTGTCCTCCTATAACTAAAAAACAAATATTAAAAAAAGAATAAAGCATTCATGTGGGATTTTTGTTGGTGTTATTGTTGTTGTTGTTGTTCACCAATGTGATTCCTTCCTATAGACTGAAGAGAAACAAAGAATATTGCCACAGGGAAAGCAGAAAATCTGCAGCTGAGGAAAAAGTTTTTCTTTTACAAAATTAAATTTTATTTTCAAAAACTAAAAGAGCTTTTAGTTTTTTTTTTTCTTGGTTTTGTTTTTGTTTTTAACATTCCATCATAACCAGTTGAATGGTGGAAATGGAAAATGTAGGCAATTAAGGGGTCAGGTGTTCTCCATGACCCCCAGATCTGCACTGATGGTTCTTCCACTGGGATGACTGGTTAGTCCACCTTGTCAGAATGCTGACACTCCATGGAAACCAGTGCAGCCCTGGCTGTAACAGCAAGACTCTCGGAGGCCCCTCTCTAGGGAATGCTGTGCCACTCCACTATCTTCCTCTCATCTTTGTGTTGAGTTTGAACAGCTGAGGGGAGTTAGCCCCAAATCTTCCTAGGATTCCTGGCATCCTTTGTCAGCTACAGTTCCCAAAGTGGAAAGAGAGTGATCCCCAGGAAATTCTAAGATAGAAGGTGAACTGGAAAGATGGATGCCACAGGGAGAGCCTGCGGCTCCAAACCACACGTCCCCCACTGTGAGGGAGAAATAGAAGGTGCCTGGCCATCAGCTCAGAACCCATGCTCCTCTGAATGGTTGGCAATTCCTAAAGTAAGTGTTATTTTCTTTCTAGAAAACAGTGGCTTTTAGTGGACACCCGTTCCCAAGTGAACTTTTGGTCCCTAGACAATGACCCTAAAAAGACTCAGCCTTGAAAATGTGATCCCTGGGTGACCAGTGTCCAGGAATCTGGGTAGCAACAGGAACACCATTTCAGAAAGCCTGAGGCAGAGAGGGGACCATTTATCTCTGCGCACTTCAATGGAAATTGTCATGCTTTATATTGCCATGAAATAACAATCAGAAGCTGGGAGAAGGCACACAATTTCCCCTGCCCAGTTGTCCCAAATGGCAGCCCTGCAGAAACCAATTATGCTAATAATATTTTCATACTAAAAAGGAAACATGCCACTGCTGGTTATTTTGTTTTGAACAGATGTCATTTTTTTTTCTATTGGGGAAAAATTTAAATGCAATTTTGTTGTTTCCCTTCTCTCAAAAATGGATCTCAAATGGCAATAAGCCCCAGTTACAAGAATCTTCTAGTGAATTTTAAGGACTAAAGTGTAGGAGCCTCTAGCGGGTTAGCTGGAGGGCCGGGGGCCAGCGGCCTGCACACCTGCTCTGCCCTTATCAACTCAGTCTGTGTCCAAACTTGCAGACTCAAAGCAATGGCCTGGCATCCCCTCTCACACTCCCATGGAACCGCACTGGTCCTGGTTCACATGTGGCCAAGGAAGAAGCCTTCTCTCCTCCAGGCCACAACACTTTAAAATTAAAACAAACCACCCAAGCCCAACACAAAAGCATCTCTGCCCTCTCCCCACTTTCGGCCCACTCCCACCGCCCAGGGGTAAGGCCGTCCAAAGCCCTTCCTTCTACAGAGTGATTTCTAGTAACCTCCAGAGCCGTTTTTCTAATTAAATAAACCTCATCTTGTCTAGCTTCCTGGTCAGCATTTTGAACCCCCTACAGATGGGTCTGAAGGATTAACAGCAAATCCTCCTCGACCTAGCTCTGGCAGATGGGCGGCATGTGTCTGATAAATACTCGGACCGGGCTTGCTTCCTCCTGTTTCTAACAGATAGACAGAACACCCAGCAAATTAATTTTAAAATGGTGCCCCTTGCAGCCCTTCGAATGGCAAAGGAGGCCAAACACAAATGATATGAATTTCATATGTGGAACACATTATCACCTCCCAATAACTGAGAAAGATAACCTGTTGGGTAAACAGGACCTCGGGGAAGGCTGGGTCAGCAAGTTCACCTTCAACTCCTAGAGCAGGTCACAGAGGCTCAGTCTCACCTTCTTTTGCCGTGTCTATTTGCATGTGGCCCTTGGCTGTGAAACAGCCTTTCTGCTTTTGCATTTACTTTGTGGCCATCCAGGTGCCTTTGGAGTTTGAAATAGACCAGAAGATGGAACTTGTGTGGTTTTCAGTTAAAAAAACAAACAAGCAAACAAAATAGCCGTGGTGCATGCCTATCATCCCAGTGATTCAGGAGGCTGAGGCAGGAGGATCGCAAATACAAGGCCAGCCTGTGCAATTTATTGAGACTGTCTCAAATTATAAAACTTCAACTCAATTCAATTCAATTCAATTCAATTAAAAAAGCCAGGGGATGTAGCTCAGTGATAGAGCACCCCTGGGTTGGATCTCTAGTGCTGAAAAAAGAAAGAGGCAGACAGCAGACATAACACACTAAAACACCTTCCCCAATTGTTAAGGATTTTTGCATTTAAAGATTGGTGAGCTGTCTGTTCCAACCTGGAAAGGGAAAGGCGACCCTCAGCCCTGGGGGAAGGGACTAGTTACACAGGACTTCATTTGTGAGATGCTCTTCACTCAAGAAAACATCCTTCCAACTGCACCTCTTTTGGAAGCTCTTCAAAATAGGCCACAGAGCTCAGCACTGCCAACCAGAGGTGTGTCCCTCCTGTCCATTAGCTACATAACCCCTGGCCTCTGTGACTTCATTTTGTAAGATGCAAGGGATACCATTTTAATTTTCCTCCTGCTAAAAAGACTGAGCCCAGTTGAATATTTTTTTTCTTTCATGGTACTGGGGATTGAACCCAGGTTTTATTTTTTTATTTTGCAATGGGTTCTCGCTAAGTTGCTGAGGTTGACCTCAAACTTGTGATCCTCCTACCTCAGCCTCCCGAGTCATTGGAATCGTAGGCATGCGCCACCTTGCCCAGTTTCCAGTCAAATATTTTCTTGAGGAAATCATTAAGTACTCCTCAAACGCCCACAGGTGATACAGGTGGTAGCTTGTGGATAACTACTTCCTGGTTGGAGAAAACTGGCCCGCAAATACTGAAGTAGCTGCCCAAAGGGAACATGGGAATTCCAACTATTGATTAAGAGTACAGGTCTCTTGGCTCTTGTTTCTCTGTCACCGTCCTCTTTATGATCTTATTACCTTTATTTTTCCTCATATCTATGTTAAACAGATGTTCACTTGTGCTATGGACAGTCCTCAGTTACAGCCGTTGTCCCAGAGTAATTATCAATAACTCCTTCCTTCACACTCAAAAGGAAGGTGATTTGAAGAGTAAAAATTACATGATAAATCACCACCTGACCTATTTTCCTTTTATTATTTATTGCCTTCACTGTAATGTGAACTCTATGACAGCAGATTCTGTGATTTGTTCAGTGCTGTTTCCTTAGTACTTTGAATGGTGCTGACACATAGTAGGGGTTCAATAAATATTTGTTGAATTACTTCATGTACTTTATTCATTTGTATATTTGCTATTTGGTGGTGGGGATCAAACCCAGGACCTCAAAACTCCACAGCATTCACACTACTACGAGGTACACACCCAGCCCAGTTCATATATTTTATTAATGATATTTATGACCTCAGAATAGCATAAAGGAGCTACATGATGAAACGGGCTTTTGCTTGAGCTCTCTTTGTGTCTCCTGTCCCCTGGACAAGTTCCCTAATCTCCCTGAGCTTCAGGTTCCTCTTGGATAGAAGGGAGCTAATAGCAATGCCGGCTCTGCCACCAAGGGTAGAAGCAAATGTGCTAATGTACAGTCACATCTATGAAAATGCCTTAGAAGCTCTAAGTACTCTCCAAATTGCAATTTGATTTTACTTGACCATGTTAGAACAGTGTGGTTTTGTTGTTGTTGTTGTTGTTGTTGTTGTTGTTGTTTTCAAATAGATGGCAAGTACTGATGAAAATGGTGGTGACAAAGCTCATACTCAGATATTTTTGAAGGATTGAACTTACAACTTTCTAATTACTCGTGCTCACATGGGCTTTTTGTTTGTTGTTTTGTTTCACTCCGTTTTAACCAGGGGTTGAACCCAGTGGCACTTAACCCCTAAGCCACATCCCCAGCCCTTTTTGTATGTTATTTAGAGACAGGGTCTCACTGAGTTGCTTAGGGCCTTGCTACATTGTTGAGGCTGGCCTTGAACTTGAGATCCTCCTGCCTCAGCCTCCCTACTGGCTGGGATTACATGCATGCACCACCACACCTGGCCCCTAACACAGGCTTTGTGAAAGAATATTTTACAGGACTGTATTTAAAAGACAACTTTTTACAGATTCCTTAAGAGGAATAAGGCATGCTGTGCCTAGATTTATTGTTCCCAAACCCAGCCAGCTCCCTACCTTCACTTCTCGGTGTCCCAGGGCAGCTCTGGATCTTGGACCAGCTCTGTGGGCCCCTTTCTCAAGGGGCCATCCATCCAGAGCACACATTAGAAGCCAAACCACTGCTGGTGGAGGGCTTTCAACCCCCTCCCAGGGAGTTCCCAGAGCAATTAACAAAACAGAAGGCCTAATTAGGAGCACTTGGGATTTACTACAGACTTTAAAGTGATCCTGAGACCCTTTTGAAGGAAAGTGAGGTCTTTTCCCAGAATCCTACAAGCAGGAATTTGTCAAAATTTTTCTAAGGTGGCAATCTGGGAACTAATTCTCAGGCCTTTCCCCACGGAACCTCTACTCTTTGAAGGGTTTTTCCCTATCTAGAAAAATCTAAGTAGCAAGGCCAAGAAACATAATTTTGATAACGGGAGGCTTCACCTTTTGCGAATGACTTTGCTGTTAATATTCATATTTCCTTCCATCTAGATCGAGTTTCGTTTTTCTTTTTCTCTTTTTAAAGACGTGACAATTCAGAACATGTCAGCATGCCTGTCACTCCCTCCACGATCCTTATCGCAATGTGAGATGGATGATTTCTATGTGTTTTGCTTTGCGAGAGACACCAAGAAGAGTGACATCAATGTCAACAGTCTTGTCAGCCTCAGCATCATTCATGGGAAGAGAAATGTAAGTTAAAACTATACTGAGAAACTGCGTTCACCTGTTAGGCTCGCACGGACCAGAAAGCTCCTGGTGCTGTGGACAGAGTGTGGAAATGGGTAACGCCATACAGTGCCGTGTCAGTGTGGTCTCTGGGGAAAGGATATGGGCTTAGCTATCACTTCCATTTTGAGTCAGCAATTCTATTTCCAGAGACTTTCCTACAGAAACACTAGTTTGTGTGTGAAAATGCTTTCTATCTATCAATAGGACTAGCTAAATAAATGATTAGTATGGCCATAAAAAGTGAGAAAGTTTTAAGTCGGGCACGTGGAGCATGCCTGTAATCCCTGTGACTCAGGAGGATGAGGCAAGAGGATCGTAAGTTTGAGGCCAGCCTCAGCAACTTTAGTAAGGCCCAAGCAACTTAGTGAGACCCTGTCTGAAAATAAAAAAAAATAAAGAGGACTGAGGATGTGGCTCAGTGGTACAGCACTCCTGGTACTAAAAAGAACAAGAAGAAGGAGAAGGAGAAGAAGAAAGTAGAAAGTTTTATATGGAATGATCTGCTAAATATATCATTCCTTTAGGAAAACAAAGGAGAATGTATGCAGTCTGCTACCATGGTTTTTTAAATGTGGGATGAAAGATTGCAGAAAAACATGCAAATAAGTTTAAATATACATAAAGCATCTCTGAAGTGGTAACAACCAACCCTGTTGGCTCTTAGTGAGGTGAACTAGCAGTCCGGGAAAAAGGGTAGAAAGGAGGCTTGTTTCTCTACCCCTTCTGTTATCTTTTGAGCTCTGCATGCTCAATAAGCAAGTAAGTAAAATGTCTTAAACAGTCATTGGTGCATTCTAGATGCTTCCACTCCATGCACCAAGATTTGCTTGGTCTACTTGCTATAATGGGCTATTCTGAATTTCTATGATTTTAGTGCAAAGAGATACTGTATTGCATTTATGAAGTGGTTTCAGTTACAGAATTCATGTAGAAGTTTAATATTGACTTAATAACACCTGTCAATGAAACAACATTCTAATTTTTTTTTTTTTTTTTTTTTTGAGACAGGGTCTCACTATGTTGTACAGGCTGGTCTGAAACTTGTGAGCCCAGTTGATCCACCTGTCTCAGCTTCCCGAGTAGCTAAGACTACAGGTACCTGCCAAATGCACCCAGCTTAATTACTTAATTTTGTAAGAACAATAAAAATAAGATGGACTTAAAGATAAACTTAAGGAGCCTGGAATCAGAAATCCATCTCTAAAACCAAACACTAATAGTTGATCCGATAGACGGTAACCATACAATAAAGTGTCACATATTTAAAACAGAAATTGTTGACTTTCACAACATTTCTCCTTTAAAACCATTTCATGACTCACTCTCTCCATCCTCCCATCTGACTTTTAGTTTATACTTATTAGATAGCCTCAAAATGTTTATTCCCTGTGTCTAATCTAAATAATATGAGCCTTAGAGTCAGATTACATTCAGATTCCAGAACTGCATATACTTGCTCTGTGACATTAAGCAGGTCACTTAATCTCTCTGATTCTTGGTCCCTCATTCATGAAATGAAATAGTCCCGTGGGGATGAAATGAGATCATTCGTGCAGAAGGCATAGCGTGGTGGCTGGTATTAGAGTGAATTTGCCATAAAGGGATACCCATCTCTGTCATTGTTTTAGCTCCTTGGTCTATCTTCTTATTTTTGTTTCTTCTGTGGTACTGGGGATTGAACCCAGGCCTTACACATGCCTGACAAGCACTGTACCCCTGGAGCTACATCTCCACCATTTTTAAAATTTTTATTTTTTGAGATAGGGTCTTCTTATTTTGGTTTGACTTGTCTTGAACTTGCAATTCTGCCTCAGCTTCCCAAGTAGCTGGGGTTACAGGCATGTGCCATGTACCTGGCTTCTCCTTAACTTAATCATAAGTGACATCAGGGCAGCCTCTTTTATAACCAGATCTTTAATCACAGCATTAGTGGTGTACAAATGGTGAGCACTAAATAAAGGCTGACTAGCTCACAGATCTTAGACACAGGGACCTCAAAAGATCTCTTAATTTAAGTCAAGCACCTGTGCCGATAAGACCTTAGCCCCATTTTATAAAATGTAGAATTGGCTCATGATCAGATTAAATAACTTAGTTTTTTACCTTCTCCTTTTCAAAAACAATTCTTTTGTTCCTAGAAAAGTAAAAAAGTGCGAGCGAGGTATGGAGCGAGATATGGTGGCATACACCTACAATCCCAGCAACTCAGGAGGTCAAGCCAGGAGGATTGCAAATTTAAGGCTAGCCTCAGTAATTTAGCAAGACCCAGGCTCAAAATTAAAAAAATAAAATAAAAAGGGCTGGGGATGTGGCTCAGTGGTAGAGCACCTCTGGATTCAATCCCTAATACAAAAAAGAAAAGTACAAAAGTTAATTGAGAGGTGAGAGGGTAGTGGATGCCTGTTTTCCCAGTTATTCTGGAGACTGAGACAGGAGGATCGAAAGTTGGAGGTCAGTCTGGGCAACTTAGTAAGACCCTGTCTCAAAATAAACATTTTTACAAATAATATAAGGTAATTGAACATATTTATTCTTTCACATGACATTCAAATCCATCCATTACATTTCTTGTTTTATCTTGAATTAGATTTTCTCCCTTTTCATGTTCATTTCTGAGACACAATAAAAAAAAATCCTCATTGTTTTTATGAACTGTGATCAGAAGGAGGTTCTCAGAGTTGCTGGGGATAGGGAGCATTATCTTTATCTTCCTCTCTGGGCCCCAGATCTCCCCTGAAGCAAGGAGAACAGGATTTCCTGTCTATGGTTCGGGCAGTCAACAACTTTTGAGAGGTATTCTGGACTGATGCCAATTTGCTGGGCCACAGGTGGGAATAAGAATGTTCCATGTCTTAAGAAGCCTAGTGTGTTGGCCAGCTTTCCATTGCTATGACAAAATACCTAAGATAAAAAACTAAAAAGAAGAAATGTTCATTTGGGTTCACAATTCCAGTCATTCTAGTCAATGGTCATCAGGCTCCATTGTTTTGGGGTCTGTGGTAAGGCAGAACATGATGACTGGAAACATGTGGTGGAACAAAACTACTCTTTTCATGGTGACTGGGAAGCAGAGAGAGAGATGAAAGGTTGATACCCTTCAAGAGCATGACCCAATAACGTATTTCCTCCATCTAAGTCTCACTTCCTAAGATTTCCACCACTTTCCAAGAATGCCATCAGAGGAGGACCAAGTTTTCAACATAGAAGTTTTCAAGGGACATTTAAGATTTGAATCATAACACCTGGGATAAAAATTAGTTATAAGGTTACTACAATGGATGCAAACTAGTTAGTACTGCCATGGTTATCATCATTGTCATGATTATATCACTTTGCTGAAATTTATTGAAGTCCAATAAGCTATATTTTACTTCATTTACATCAAGTTACTCTTTCCTATATTAATGAAGAGAATCTGAAAATTTGAATTTTTTTTTTTAAATCAATTCAGCTGCTTCAGATTGTATTCAATCCAGGCATAGGAGCACAGGCCTATAATCCCAGCTACTTTGGAGGCTGATGCAGAATGATCACAATTTCAAGGCCAACCTGGGCAACTTAGCAAAAAGCTGTCAAAATAAAAAGTAAAAAGGATTGGGGGCTGGGGGTCTAGCTCAGTTGGTAGAGTGCTTGCCTTGCATGCACAGGCCCAGGGTTCTATCCCCAGCACCAAAAAAAAAAAACAGCTAGGGGCTGGGGTGGGGTGGGGACATAGCTCAGTGGCAGAGCCTTTGCCTAGCATGTATGAGGCCCTAAATTCAATTCCTAGTATTGAAAAGGTGTGTGTGTGGGGGGGGGGGGGGTGATCCAAAACCAAATATTACTACTTCCCCATCCTTCACTAACAGGTTAATTTTCAAGTGCTCACAGGAGAAAAGGACACTTCACAGCTGGGTCCCTGCTACTTCTGCAGTATTATCTATCTTCACCCTTACACACTTCAGCCATCCCAAGCACACTGATCCATGTCAATCACCCAAAGCATCATCATAAGAATACAGTAGTTTACGTGGTGTGTCAGAACTAGAACACCTGCACTTGAATTTTAGATCCTCCAATTATGGCTCAAGGACCTTGGGCAAGTTTCTTAAACTCTTATAGCTTTCTATGAGTTGTAGAAATGTTTCTTTGTTATAGACATTTATAAAATAAGAATACTGACAGTACGTGCTTCATGGAGTTTGGGGTGGGGAGTGTGTTTATATGTACTTAGAAGAGTGCCATGCACTCAGAATATATTAGCTGTCATGTAAAGTATAGAATTTTAGCAATCCGGGTCTGGTGGCACATGCCTGTAATCCCAGCAACTCAGGAGGCTGAGGCAGGAGGATCAGAAATTCAAGGATAGCCTTGGCAATTTAGCAAGGCCCTAAGCAACTTAGTGAGACCCTGTCTCAAAAACACAAAATAAAAAGGACTGGGGAGGTAGCTCAGTGGTAAAGAACTCTTGGATTTAGTCCTCAGTACCAAAATGATCATCATCATCAGCAGCATCATCATCATCATCATCATCACCCAGAATTTTACCTTCACTGTTCTAATCCTAGAACACTCTCACTTTCCATACGTGCCCCTTTGCCTTTTACTCATTCCTTGGATTTCAGTTTAAAAGCTAATTTCCTCCAGTAAGCTTTCTCTGAACAACCTACTTAGACAAGCCAAGACAAGGTGCCCTTCCTTAGGGCTTCTCTAGTCCCTTGCTAAGTATTATGCAATGCATGTTTATAAATGTAAGTATCTGTTTGCCTGTCTGGCTTCCCCATTATACAAGTTTCACAAGGACAGCAATTTAGTGAGTTCATCATTACATCTGTAGTACCTAGTCAAGTGCTTGGCACAGAATAGGCTATCAATAAATATTTGCTTAAGATAGAATGCATAAAATCTTCTCCCTTGAAGCTGTACTCAGCAAAAGTCTTTGAAAAGAGCTTCCTATTGGAAAGTCTCTTGAGCCCATTGGAGATGAACAGCTAGGATAGACCTTGAAATGGATTTAAAATTTGAAAAAATATGAATGTAGATTGTACAGATAAACCACTATCAAAATACCCTGGGTAGAAAAGTACTTAGTCCTCTGTGTATTTTGGATCCTACCAGTTGTTATTTTGACAGATATTAGCTAATTCCCATCCACAAAGGTGAATAAATACATTCACGGAAGTGAAAGGGGGCGGTGGCATTGGAACCTGATCCTCTGGGTTTCCTCCACAGTGAACCTGCTGTCCTAACCTTTTCGAAATCCTTGACTGTCCTGTAGTCCTTGCTCTTATCAGGAAGAGTGTGACCTCAGGAAGAGAGGCTTGGCATGAGCACCCATTGGATCCAGCCAAGAGTTTCCTTGTTGTTGTAAGAACTCAAGCTCCTTGACCTAACATTTAAAATCATTGACAAATGGCCTCTTATTTGGTAATAACAAAGCAATATGGTTTTCTGTCCCCAAACTTAAAAATACGATTATACCTATGTGTATATATAGATATATATGTACATATATATGGTACCATTATACACATATTGGTACCGGGAATTGAACCCAGGGGTGCTTAACCACTAAGCCACATCTCCAGCCTTTTTTATTTTTCATTTTGACACAAAATCTCACTAAGTTGCTGAGGCTTGTCTCAAACTTTCGATCCTTCTGCCTCAGCCTTCCAAGTTGCTGAGATTACAGATATGCTTTATTTTATATTTTGAGACAATATATTTTGAGACAAGGTCTGGCTAAATTGCCCAGGCTGGCTTGGGAATGCGTGATCCTTCTACCTCTGTCTCCCAAGTAGCTGGCCTGTTTTACTTCTTGTTTTTCAAACTGACATGGACTGAGAAAGTGAGAGGCCAAGGTGCCCTGTTGCTTTGTGCACCAGCCTCTCCCTGACTCTGTCTCACTTTCTACTGGTCCTAACTTCACTCACTTGCTGTTCATCCATTTTGCTTAAATAAAAACCAACTGAAACTTTGGGATTCCACTAGTTTCCCTCTTGCTCTGATCTCTAAAGTAAGAAACAGACACCTCTGTAAGCACCCCATCAATGGGAACTGAGTAATCCATGGGGCTGGGTTGGTGGGGAAGATAGGTGGGCCCCCAAGGGAGCTGACCACTGAGCAATAGGGGTGCTTCACCAGCCCTATTCCATGATACCCTCAATGACCCTGCCTCCAAAGTGAGGACACAAAGCTTACTGTTTTCTTTGGGGACCTAATGCCACATTTTCCTCTTACTGAGCTTTGAAAATTAACCACCAGAGTCTGGTCATTACAACTTCATTAACTATTCCTTGTAATTGCACTGGTCATAATTAATTCAGTTGTTATTCACATGGGTGACATACGGACCCTTTAATAGATTTTCCTCATGGAATTTCACATATTAAATGATATTGATGGTGCTTTTAGAGAAGATTCAAAGCGGAACCATTATACGAGCTAATTTTGTGTAAGTAGCTCTGAGTTATAATAAAAATGAAGCTAATTTTTAAAAATCCCTCAAACTTTTGTATGAGAACCAGAAAACAAATAAACTATACCTTTTCCCTCCACATATATATTTCTGCTCTGTAATCTAGAGTCCCAAAATAAAATAATTCTGATAAATATAGATGGTATATTTACAAATGCATACCAGAATATTTAAATAAGTAATACTTGAATTAATTTCAGGTTAAAACCTTTCTTTTAAGCCTTCCTTATTTTTTTTCCCAGAAATCATCGGTATTTTAACGTCTTACTGCACAGCTGCATTCCTCATGTTTAATTTATATTGAAGTTCTTTTGTGACAAGACCAACTTCTTTTTTAAATGAAATCAGTTCATTCTCAGAAAAACATTAGTGACCCAAATATCACACACACTCTCAAATTATGCATAATCCGTCCCTGGCCCCTGGGCCCAACACACACACACATCCCTGCAACTGCACCCCCATCCCTTTTTGAAGGACTGAATAAGGATCCCACACTGCTGAATATTTAACCAAATACTTTTTTTTTTAAACCAAATACTTTAATCATTGGTTATCTGATGGAAACATCCAGCCTACACTGACAGACACACAATTAAGTGGCGGAACTGAGGTAATTATCTATATAAATTCAGGTTAGAAACTAAATAACCAAGTTATGTCTGAAATACCCCAATCATGGGGGAAAAAAATAAAAGTGTCACTTTGGTTAGTGTTATTCCTATGATTGCCTTAATTCCCACTTGACTCTATAAGTAGAATCACAGACACAGAAATTAAGTCTCTTAGCGATTATCTAATCCACCCTCCTTATTTTTCAGATGAGAAGGCTGAGACCCCACAGAAGTTAAGTGCCCTGCCCAGGTCATTATGGTGGTGGCAGAGTCCAGTTCCGGGATCGCATCTCCCAGCTCAGCACACATCCAACTGATGCCATCTTGTCCTGGCTCCACTGGCCCTAGAAACCCAAAGTATGGCACCAGCCTGTAGCCAGCATCATAAACTAAACAAAGACAGCCAAATGCCACCCAAACCCAAAGCAGCAATTTGCGTTGGCTGAATATCAAATAATCCTTTCTGTACCTATTCTACCAACACTATAGTACCAGGAAAATAGACATCTTTTAAAAATATTTAGGAGTGGGGCCAGGTGGGGTGGCACACACCTGTTATCCCAGCAACCGAGAAGGTTAAGGCAAGAGGATTGCAAGTTCCAGGCCAACCTTAGCAACTTAGTGAGGTCCTAAGCAACTTAGCAAGACCCTTTCTTAAATAAAAAATTTTAAAAGGCTAAGGAGGGGCTGGGGCTGTAGTTATAGCTCAGTTGGTAGAGTGCTTCCCTAGCACGCACGTGTGAGGCACTGAGTTCGAACCTCAGCACCACGTAAAAATAAAATAAAGGTATTGATTGTGTCCATCTACAACTATAAATTTTTTTTTTTTTTAAATGAAGAAGGCTGGAGGGCTGGGGTTGTGGCTCAGTGGTAGAGCACTTGTCTAGCACTAGTGAGGCACTGGGTTCCTTGCCCAGCACCACAGTAAATAAATCAACAAATAAACAAGAGTCTTCACAAAAGAAACACAAACATTTCCACCATCCCTAATAGATGCCCCATAATAGATAAACCTAAAAACAAAATCAACAAGAACAAAAACTTTTAAGAGCTATAGAAAAACTTATGTTCAAGACCTTGCATGAGTTTATATCTGGCTGGAAGTCAAAACACACGGAGGTAGATTCTGTTTAAGGATCTGCACGTAAAACAGACATTGCGTTTGGAAGGAGTCCACACTTGGGTTCCAAGAGATCCCAACCTGTTTAATGAGGTTTTCCAACTCCCAGGGCATTGACTTTGACAAGCGCATATCCTTTGTTTTGGAAACAAGCAAGTTTTTGTACTTCTGCCAAGAGTGCTTTCTGTTGTAAAGACAGCCCGGGACACCAGCTGTGTGGTTCACCTGACTTCTCTACCTTGACGGTCAGCACACCGATGTTTTTGTTTGTTTTTAGCATTTCTATGTAAGGATTCCTCCCATTTTCAGAGCCTTGGAGCTTATCGGGAGGGTGGGTGGTTAGTGCAAACTACCCTGGGGGGAGATTGCTTGTGGTCTTGCATTTTAGTGGCTAGGACAGAGGACCCAGACTGAGGTCAAAATTATTATGTGGAGATTAAACCGTAGAATTTAATTATGTGTTCTGTTGCTCCTGGTACATTTATTAATTTAGCAGTACAAACTGACTGGAGCTAAACAAGCAGGACTGATTAATTTGCAAAGACATCTAGGTAACAGATGTGATCAAAGTGGAGACCTGATCCTGTTAGATTGAAATGTGTTGTTTTGTGCTGCATGAAAGACATGGAGCAGCATGGTTTATCTTTATCAATGCTCTCCTCTGAAGGAGGGGAACAGGCTTGCAGATACTAATCAGGGCTGAGGCCCTGCCACTCAATAATTACCCACTGTCTCATCATAATCCCGGAACTAAGCCCCTGCCCAATCCATCTGGGACCCTTTTCCATCTATTGCACAGCTCAAGAATATGTGTGTAAGCTATTACCTCTGGTTGTGCTATCTGTCCCCTGAGTATAGATTCATGGCAGTGACCAATTAGGTTGCTGTGTTCTCTTTCCCCGCTTGCTTCAGAAGCATCCTGTACTTCTCAGCACTGGTAATGAAGCACAGATGCATCAGGGTGCAGAAAGCCACTCACCTATAAAAGCTGTCTCGCCACAGTCGCTGATAAGCATCATGTGATTCTTAATATTGTGGGGGGTTTTGAAAAGAGGAGGTGGTGAGACCATACCTCTGCATCTTCAGTCTTCTCTAAGTCACTCTCAACCTGCTGCTGCCTTCTGCCAAGAACAAATCACACACCGAGGAAAATGTTCCTGACCCTAATCCAGAAACCAAACAGCTGAGAAGTGAAGAGGGGCCGGGGTGGGGATAATTGAATCCTGGATTCCTGAAAGAGGATCCAGTACTGGGCCTTGCTTAAAAACATGGGACTCTGAAGTTCAAGATTCTGTTCAGGTTCTGCTGTTAACCAGCCAGTCACAGCCTCTTCGAAATTTCATTTACCCTTGATAGAAGAGTGTCTGACTCATAAAGTTGCCTTCAGAGTTACCTGAGCTACTACATATAGCACTCAACTTTATAGATGATAGAACCTCTATCAAAGGTAGTTAGTCTTATTGCTTTCTGAATTCGTGTCATATTCATGCCTGACTTTGTATTTGATATTTGTAGCCAACATCCCCCCACCAATCTAGTTCTTTTTTATTTTATTTTTGGGGGTTACTGGGAATTGAACATAGGGGTGTTTAACCACTGAGCCACATCCCCAGCCCTTTTTTAAAAATATATTTTATTTAGAGACAGGGTCTTGCTGAGTTGCCTCACTAAGTTGCTGAGACTGGCCTTGAACTCCTTGCCTCAGATTCCTGAGCTGCTGGGATTACAGGTGTGCACCATCATGCCCAGCGCCAAATCTCAAACTGCAAGTCATCCATTAATTATTTGGGATGTGTGCTTTTATCTTCCAAATTAAAGTATACATTCCTGAAGGGTAAAATCCACGTCTTTAAAAAAAAATGTGTATATCTCACTGGTGACAGTTAATGCATACTAATTCTTATACTGAAGAAAGCCTCAAAAAATCTTCAGAGATAGATAATGTTGAGGGAGAGAGGGACAAGCAGTCTGTTATAATTTTCTTTCTTTTTTTTATAAAGAGAGAGAGAATTTTTCAATATTTATTTTTTAGTTTTCGGTGGACACAACATCTTTATTTTATTTTTATGTGGTGCTGAGGATCGAACCCAGCGCCCCGTGCATGCCAGGCGAGCGCACTACCGCTTGAGCCACATCCCCAGCCCCATAATTTTCAAATAAGGAAACGGAGACAGTGATGTCCATTGGGTCACCTAGCAGAGCTGCTGTTATCAGTGGTAGAAATTCACTGTTATCGGAGGTAGAATTTCAACTCATTGCTGGTGAAAGAATCTGCAGAGCCACTTTCGAGCAGCACCCACTCCATCTTAAGCCTTAGGGGCTGTTTTCAGTGGACACTGGGTTGAGGCGCAGGCCCAACTCCTCATTTGCCAAGACCCTGTTTCAGATCTATGCTGATACCGACAGGATTTTAATTAGTTAAATCTACCACTTGGCTCTTCTTGGTCTTCCCTGGCAGAGTGGAAAATACATGAAAATATGAATGTTTCACATTTACACTTCCAAAACACTCCTTCCCTGATGAACCACCTTTTGGAATTTATACCGGCAGCTCTGACAGCTGTTTTCTATTTATTTCCATGATTGGCCCATTTCAATTTGGGGCTTTTATTCATTATATTAGCAAATATTTGTGAAAGGATCAGGCATGGGATGAGGTATGTTTGTCAGGATTGTAATTAAGGTGCTATGTGTACCAGGGGTAGACAGGGATGGGCTAGATCCTCAACCCACACAAGCTGTGTTACTTTAAAAGACGTACAGACCTCTCTGGGCCACATCTGGCCCACAGGTATGTCGTGTATATGTTGTTTTGTTTGCACTGATCCAAAAGGTAGATAAGAAAGAATTTGGATAAAAATTTAAAGAATCTAATACATTAGCTTTTGGTAAATTCCTTGCCTACAGCATATCCTAAAATCCATTTATTTTTTAGACTGATCTTTTTGAAGTGTAATTTTAAGAAATTATAATTTTAAGAAATTATAATTTTAAGAAATTATATCATTTAAGAAATTATATCATTTAAGAAATTATAATTTCATGGAATTTCTCAAAAGTTTTTATTTATTCACATGGTAGGCCTGGATCTGGTGAAAAGAATATATTGAAATTCCTTCTTTCTCTTTCAGAGCTTTCTCAAATAGAGAGCTCTCTGGAGGTCTCAGCACCATTTGCCATTTTCATATTTTTTATGTCTTTCTTTTTTCTCCTTTTTAGTATTGAGGAATGAACCCAAGCTCTTGCACATAACAGGCACGCACTCTACAACTGAGCAACATCCCCAGTCCTTTTATTTTTTATTTTGAGACAGGGTCATGCTAAGTTGCTGACGCTGTCCTCAAACTTACAATCCTCCTGCCTCAGGCTCCCATATTGCTGGGATTACAGGCATTGGCCACCATGCCTGACTTTGTATTTAATTTTAAAGGCAGTGTACTGCAAGGAGGCTGGATGCAAGATACATCCTACACTAAACTGCACTGTTATTTAAGATGTAATAAAGTAGCATAACATTTTTAAAGTTTGGGCTTCTAAGGTGTTAATTATTTCTAATACATCCAATATTTGAGCCTTTACCAGCCATGGTTATCCATGAGTACTTTGCAGAAGACAGATTTATGTCCCTGAAGCTATGAGACTATACAACTGGCCCTGAACTTACCCACTGAGGAAGATGAGCCTCTGAAGTGTGACCCTCAGATCTCATTCCCTTCTGAGCATCCCCATGTCTCCCAGCACCACTGTGAACATTCAAATTCTTGCAAAATGAGGATGCAGAGCATATTCAAACATGCAATATAGACTCACTTATAATTCAACTCCCTTGTTCCATTTAATGCCTTACATCTAGGAATCTGGGCACATGACTTAGTTCAGACACCTCTCTGGCTCACAACCAGGATGTGGGATGTGTTGAGGATGTGTCCTTGCTAGGGTGGATCAACAGAGGCCGAAAGGCTTCTAACTGATGAATTCAGAATGGCTGATTAATAGCCAAGCCCACTCAATAGAGACCACCAGGTGCCTTTTTTTCCATCCTTCTCTTTCTCACTGATTGTGTGGCTAGTGAGGCCCCGACTGCTCTCTATGTCAAACACACTTTTGGTTTCTGCAGTATGATCTTCCCAAGGTCTTTCTCTCCTAGACCTCTGACTATGTGTGTTCCTTAATCCTCCATCTGTTTCTTTCTAAATTTAAACCCTCTACTGCTTATTTATTCTTGTGTCCTTAATATTGTCCATATCTAGAACTTGGGAGTCTCCTTCTGTAATCCTGACCACCTCCTGGCTCTGATTCTGGATTATCAGCAATTTCCAAATGTCTGAGTCTGGAAAAAGCTTCATCTCCTTGAGTTCATCATGTCCCCAAATGAGTCCACTAATGACCCCCAAGTCCCCTCCCAGGAAACAACAGCATTTGCTTCCAGCAGTGGAGCCACACAATTTGACACTTGCCTTTTCTCTAACTGCTTACTTTGTGAGTCTGTTTTGCCTCCTGACTAGATGGCAATATCTTTGAGGGAGGAGGCTTCGTGGAGTGGGAGGCCCCTGGAGAGCAACTAATAGGTGCCAAATGCAAAAAGGTTGAAGTCACCAGTTGAGAAAATCCGCACAAAATACACTGGAGCTTTTGGTCTGTATAAAATCAGCATGCTGTTTTCTCCTGGGAGAGGTTCACAGCATATAATTTTTAGTTCCTATTCTCCCCAAAGCTCAAGTTACTCCAGGAAGCAATTTGGGGTGAGAGAAAGGCACGGGCCCCGCTGAATTTATGGAAACAAAAATGTTCTAAAACATCTTCTGTGAGAAAACTTAATTCTACCTTGATGGAATATTCTGGTGATCTAGGAAACTTCTCACCATCTACATGCAACGTATAAATCCCTTGCTGAGGGAATACAGCATGGGATAGTGGACAGACACGGGTTCAAACCCAACCTGAGCTGCTTACTCCCTGTGTGTTCTTGAGAAACTCGTGTAACCTCTCTGAGCTTCAATTTCCTCACTCTGAAAATGTAAATAAGAACATTTCAGCTGGACCCAGTGGCACGCGCCCATAATCCCTGTGACTTAGGAGGCTGCAGGAGGATTGCTAGTAAGAGACCAGCATCAGAAACTTAGCAAGACCCTGTCCTGAAATTAAAAAAATAAAAATAAAAATAAAAAGGACTAGGGATATAGTCCATTGGTTAAGCACCCCTGGGTTCAATCCCTAGTACCAAAAGACTATTTCATAGGATTTATATAAGGATCATCACTAATAATAATGTGGTGAGGTACTAATAGAGTGCATGGCGCAGATGGGTTCTTAGTGATCAGTGATTTCTAGTTAAGAGGAGGAGGAGGGCTTTGGGGACAATGTCCAAGACAAACTGACACTGAGAGATCCACATATCTGTATGGCATACTGTGCGCCTGTTCAGTTCACCATGGCTAGAGACCTGAGGGTCACCACCACAGACAGTGGCCTGTATGTCCGAGATAGCGCTGCCTTCTGTCCTGGCCAGACACTCTTTCACACAGTGTTCCCACTTCAAAAGAGCTACAGAGTTTCTGAGTTTCCATTACAAGTGAAAACCATGATTCTCAGCTGTGAGGTTTTTTGTTGTTGTTGTTTTGTTTTTGCTTTTGTGTTTCATTGTGAAGTTTTTCTTCTCTGGGCAGAAACATGCCCTGAAAGAGGATGTCTTTAGAAGGGCTGAGTGTGCTTGGAGATAGGAGGTCTCTGGAGTGATTGTCTCAGAGTCAGATTTTTATAATGTCTGTGGTGCTTTCGGTCAGCTCAAGAATTCCTAAAAATTCTTTTAATTCACTTTAATTAAGAAAGATTAAACTCTGGAGCTGGGGGTATAGCTCCAAAGGAGAATGTTTGCCTTGTCCCTGGGTTTGATCCCCAGCATCACAAAAAAAAAAAAAAAAAAAAAGAAAAGAAAAGAAAGAAAGAAAAAGAAACTCCAAATGGCAAAAAGATTTTATGTTTCTACAAACCTCTGTAATCAATGGCTCCCCATCAGCAGATTGGCATATGAGCAAACAAGGGTCAGGCACAGTGGCACATGCCTATAATCACAGCGGCTTGGAAGGCTAAGGCAGGAGGATCACAAGCCTGAGGCTAGCCTCAACAACTTAGCAAGACCCTGTCTAAAAAATTAAAAATGAAAGGACTGAGAATATAGTTTGGTGATAGAGCAACCATGTGTTCAATCCCCAGTACCACACACAAAAAAGAGTAAGCAAGAGTGGAATATGAAATCATAACCTAATCAGCAAGTTTCTAGTCTTGTTTTATTCTTTCTCCCAGTTGATAGGCAAACTCAGTACTGTGAATGCTCAAGATCATTGGACCCCACAGAAACACTCCCCGGAGTTAATGAAACAACTAGGGATGCCCTTGACCTGATGCAGATGGGCCCCCTCAGACTCACAGTGCATATTATACAGTCTGGTTATAAAAAAACAAACTCGGGATTCCACCAGCAGCTCTTGGGTGTGCTGGCTTGTTCACTACCCTTATATTGTCCTATCCATTCACCTACTATACTTACCTTTAAGAAGTCATCTGGCCGGGTGTGGTGGCACAATTCTGTATTCTCAGCAACTCAGGAGGCTGAGGCAGGAGGATCTCAAGTTCAATGCCAGTGACTTAACAAGACCCTGAGAAATTTAGCAAGACCCTGCTCAAGATAAAAAATAAAAAGGGTTGGGGGTATAGCTCAGTGGTAAAGCACCCCTGGGTTAAATCCCCAGTACAAAGAAAACAAAAGTGACCTGTTTGTATCCAGTCTTCTCTCTCTTTGTAACAAAAGAGCAAGGGCCAGCCATTGCCATCCAGTTCTTGGACGGTTGCCATCTTAATATGTAGCTATTGTCATCTTTCACCCATTTATCCATCCATTCATCTAGCTAGCTCTCTGTTAATGGGCCAATCTAGGGAAAACCCAGTCCTGAAGGAAGAGAGAAGTCTCCCCCAGGCCACACCACTCTGAAAAAAATCAATGTCATCAAATTGCCTGGCTAAATGTTTTTTAGGAAGAGATTCCAAAGTTTACCTTAATCCCACACAGTGTCACAGGCTTCAGTCTATATAAGTTGAAGTCATATCCTCTCATCTTTAGGGGTAAAATATCCCTTAACTTAACAGACCATGAAGTGACTCTTGAAGGACAGATGAGAGGTGTTTGATGTAATCATTGAGCCTTGTGGTTGAGGGATATTCTAAAATGGTTTATGATGATTTTGTCAGCCCACTTGAGTTAATGTTGAATTTTCTGTTTTCCTGGAACTGCCAATTTGCCATCTGTTGTATTTGAATAATATACCAAATGCCCAATCATATTTGAAAGCCCTTCACTACCTTAATCAATGTACAGTAGACACTGCACACCTTGGTCTAGAGACGGAGATGCCCAGGGTTTGGGCTGGTCATTCATTATCTTCATCTCTTTCCTCACCTGGTGATTCTCTTCCTGGTTTCAGATTATGTTCTTCAACTTTGATGGAGGAGTATGCTTATTTGTGGCCAGCCTGGTGCCCAGTCTGGATCATTGGTTAAACTTTCAGGTCCAATGCTTTAAATTCATATCTGAGACGCTCTGTGGGGTAGGACCCACCACAGATATCTGAAGTCCAGGTTCTTGGGTGGGGTATAGCCTCATTTTAATTGCTGCCAAAATATCATCAAACCCCAAGAATCTATGTAGGAAGGGAAGTCACCTAGATGGTGGGACAAGCAGGAGGGAAGATGGTCCTCATCTTCAATGTTCCCAATATTTTTTTGTGTGATTCCTGATATTCCTTTTGCACTGGATCATGCCTTTTTTCCCCTCCAACCACCAGGGATTGAGCCCAGGAGTGCTCTACCACTGAGCTATATCCCCATCCCTCTTTATCTTTTATTTTGAGCCAGGGTCTCATTGAGTTGCTAAGGCTGGTTTTGAACTTGCAAATCTCCTGCCTCAGCCTCCTGGGTCACTGGATCATGTCTTATATGCTCCAGTAGAGAGCCAACTTTTATTAGTTAGGACAACACTGGCTTCTGAACAAATAAGGACCACATTTCCTTCTTTCTTCTACAAGACTCCAGGTGTTAGGTGAGAGGCAGCACTGTTCTACATGGCCATTTAGGACCCGAGGCTGACAATACATTACTTCCAAAGCATTCTCTCCAAGCCAGTCATCCAGAATGGGGGGAAGCCATGGAGAAGCATGACTGTTACCCTGAGCACTCCCATGGTGCAGCTCATTATGAGCCAAGTCATTTACTTTGTCTATCTATAACTCAGATCTTGGTCACATATGAATGCAAGGGGAACTGGGGAAATTAGACCAGCTGCTTATCCAGGAAGAAGAGAAAACAGATCTTTGGTGAAGAGTTGGCAGGATCTGCCTCACAGTTTATGAGACAGATTCCTGGCACAAGTAAAACATTAGTTATTAATGCTAGTGCCTGGTATCAGATTTCATTAGAAAGGGACAAGGTTACTAGAAGCATGAGTCAGGAGGTGAAATAACAACGCATTCC